TATTGATTACTTACCATGTGCCAGGTGCTTTTATGCATCATCTTATTTAAGTCTCATGTGACTCCACTGTAACTCAGCCTCTCTGGACCTCCCTGTTGCTTTTGTGAAGCCAATCTCAGTATGTTGTTGAATCCCTCCCCATCTCACCTCCCCCCTCACAAAAGAAAGAACCCAGAATTCCATCTTCAAAAAATATTGAAAGAAGTATATATTTTTCTCCATATTTTGGGAGCAGACAGAGGGAATAATTAACAAAACTTCTTAAGCATACCCTTTTTTTTAACCATCTCTTCTCTTTCTTCAAAATTCTTCTCTGTTGGTGGTACTCCCCTTCCCCCATCTTCCCAAAATCTCGAAGCCTTCCCTGCCAGGCATGGTGGCTCACAACTGTAATCCCAGCACTTTGGGAGGCTGAGGCAGGCAGATCATGAGGTCAGGAGTTCCAGACCAGCCTGACCAACATGGTGAAACTCCGTCTCTACTAAAAATACAAAAAAATTACCCGGGTGTGGTGGTGTACGCCTATAATCCCAGCTACTCAGGAGGCTGAGGTTGAGGTTGCAGTCCTGGTGACAGAGTGAGACTCTGTCTCAAAAAAAAAAAAAAAAAAAAAAAAGATAGGCATGATAATTATTCCTAATTTTTTTTTTTTTTTTTTTTTAGATGGAATTTCGCTCTTGTTACCCAGGCTGGAGTGCAATGGCGCGATCTCGGCTCACCGCAACCTCTGCCTCCTGGGCTCAGGCAATTCTCCTGCCTCAGCCTCCTGAGTAGCTGGGATTACAGGCACGCGCCGCCATGCCCAGCTAATTTTTTGTATTTTTAGTAGAGACGGGGTTTCACCATGTTGACCAGGATGGTCTCAATCTCTTGACCTCATGATCCACCCGCCTTGGCCTCCCAAAGTGCTGGGATTACAGGCTTGAGCTACCGAGCCCGGCCTTTTTTTTTTTTTTTTTTTTTTTTTTTTTTAAGGCTAGTCAAGTGAAGCAGTGGGAGTGGAGAAGGAACAAAGAAATCTGTAACTGGTTGTGATCAATTAGTTGTAAACACCACTGCACTCGGACCAGCCAATTATTCCTAATTTATAAAGGTGGAAACAGAGACAGAATACTTAGTGCTTGTCCAATCCCAGAATTTAAAAATGTGGGAGCCAGGATTTGAACCCTGGTATCTTTTACATCAAAGTTGATGCTATTTGAACCTCACTGTACCATCCTCCCCATCCTATACCATAACTCTATAACTATTTCATGACTCCAGCATCCTAATTTGACATTGCCCAGTCAGGCTGTTTTGGGTCTTACCTTCAACAACATAATATGCCATATCCTGTTTAACCAGAGGGGGAGAAGTGAAATATTCTCACATCCTCTTTATTCCTAATATCCACTCTCATCTCTTCCTCTTCCTCACCATACTCCCCAGTTCTCTGACAAAAGGAGTAAAGAAGAGGAGAAGAAAATATAAAAGGAGGAAATAAGATGATAGGCTCAAGGAGGGTTGTGGGTGGTTTTCTGAAGCTTGGTCAGAAATAGAAGAAAATTAAAGCCCTCTAAAAGAATGTGGAATGCTATTACACCTTCTTGTACTTCTCCCCAAGACTTGTTATAACTGCTGTAAGAGGAAATTCAAAGAAACTTTAAGAAAATTCTCTTGGTCTACTTTTCACTGACAGAGTGGCTGTTTTAGCTGAATTGTTTAGTTAAATAATAATAGCTATCCTATTTATTATTTTAGTTTAGTTTTTGAGACAGGGTCTCTATTGCCCAAGCTGGAGTGCAGTGGCATGATCTTAGCTCACTGCAGCCTTGACCTCCCAGGCTCAAGTGACCCTCCCATCTCAGTCCCCAGGATAGCACAGAACCAGGCATGTGCCACCATACCTGGCTAATTTTTGTATTTTTTGTAGATAGGGTTTCACCATGTTGCCCAGGCTAATATCAAACTCATAGGCCTCCAGGGGATCAAATAAGTTATCTGCCCACCTTGGTCTCCCAAGTCCTGGGATTACAGGTGTGAGCCACTGTGCCCAGCCAATAATTATCTTTTACAGGATTTCTTATATGCCAAGATTGTCGTTAAGGGTAGAACTAATGTAGGTAAATGAACAGGTACAGTTACTGGCACATAGGAGGCTTGTATGTATAATATTCAAGATTCAGGCCGGTGCAGTGGCTCATACCTGTAATTCAGCACTTTGGGAAGCCAAGACAGGCGGATCATTTGAGGACAGGAGTTTGAGACCAGCCTGGCCAACATGGTGAAACTCCATCTCTCCTAAAAATACAAAAAAATTAGTTGGGTGTGGTGGCACACACCTACAATCCCAGCTACTCAGGAGGCTGAGGCAGGAGAATCACTTGAGCCTGGGAGGTGGAGGTTGCAATGAGCCGAGATCCTGCCACTGCACTCTAGCCTGGGTGACAGACAGTGAGACTCTGTCTCAAAAAAAAAAAAAAACAGATTCAATATATCTTGAATTCTCAAAAAATCCTAAGAGGTAAAGTTTTTTTACTCCCATTTTATAGTAAAAGAAATTGAGGTTCATAAAGGTAAATAACTATCCCAAGGTAATATAGGTAATAAATGTCTAAGTCAGGATTAGGAAAGCTGGTAAATAATAATAACTGTAGTCACCGGATTTATGCCTTAACTGAATTTTTTCATTTTATTTTCACAACTATCCATTAGGTATAGTTATTATCCTCTATTAAAAACAAAGAAGCAAGGCTGGGCACAGTGGCTCATGCCTGTAATTCCAGCACTTTGGGACACCAAGGCAGGTGGATCACCTGAGGTCAGAAGTTTGAGACCAACCTGGCCGACATGGTGAAACCTCTACTCTCCTAAATATAAAAGAATTATCTGGGTTTGGTGGCAGGTGCCCATAATCCCAGCTACTTGGGAGGCTGACACAGAATTTCTTGAACTCAGGGGGCAGAAGTTGCAGTGAGCTAAGGTCGCACCAGTGCACTCCAGCCTGGATGACAAAGCAAGACTCTGTCTCAAAAAAAAAAAAAAACACTTTGGGAGGCCGAGGCGGGTGGATCACGAGGTCAAGAGATCGAGACCATCCCGGTCAACATGGTGAAACCCCGTCTCTACTAAAAATACAAAAAAATTAGCTGGGCATGGTGGCGCATGCCTGTAATCCCAGCTACTCAGGAGGCTGAGGCAGGAGAATTGCCTGAACCCAGGAGGTGGAGGTTGCAGTGAGCCGAGATCACGCCATTGCACTCCAGCCTGGGTAACAATAGCGAAACTCCGTATCAAAAAAAAAAAAAAAAAAAAAAAAAAAAGAAGAAGAAGAAGAAGATTCGGGTCAGGAGCAGTGGCTCACACCTGTAATCCCAGCATTTGGGAGGCTGAGGTGGGCAGATCACTTGAGGTCAGGAGTTCAAGAGCAGCTTGACCAACTTGGTGAATCCATGTCTCTACTAAAAATACAAAAACTAGCCAGGTGTGGTGGAGAGTACCTGTAGTCCCAGCTACTCCAGAGGCTAAGGCAGGAGAATTGTTTGAATCTGGGAGGCCAAGCCTGCAATGAGCTGAGATCCTGGCACTGAACTCCAGATTGGGCAATAGAAAGATACCATCTAGAAAAAAGAAAAGAAGTAGAGATTTAGAATGGTTAAACAATTTGCTTCAAGTCATGTGGCTAAAAAGCCAGAATTTGGGCTGGGCACAGTGGCTCACACTTGTAATCCCCGCACTTTGGGAGGCTGAGGTGGGCAGATCACCTGAGGTCAGGAGTTCAAGACAGCCTGGCTAACATGGTGAAACCCCTTTTCTACTAAAAATACAAATATTAGCCAGGCATGGTGGTACGCGCCTGTAATCCCAGTGACTCAGGAGGCTGAGGCAGGAGAATCACTTGAACCTGGAAGGTGGAGATAGCAGTGGGCCAAGATTGCACCATTGCATTCCAGCTTGGGCAACAAGACTGAAACTCCATCTCAAAGAAAACAAACAAATAAAAAATAAACTTTGACTTCTTGCCATCATACCAATATTTTGATTTAGTAAAAGAAACTTTGGGCACCAATGACAAAGAGAAAGATATTGCCAGGATTATTCTCATGAAGGATTTCAGTATACAGTTAATAAATAAGAAAAAGCTTGGCCGGGCAAAGTGGCTCAAGCCTGTAACCCCAGCACTTTGGGAGGCTGAGGCGGGTGGATCATGAGGTCAAGATATTGAAACCATCCTGGTCAACATGGTGAAACCCCGTCTCTACTAAAAATACAAAAAATTAGCTGGGCATGGTGGCATGTGCCTGTAATCCCAGCTACTCAGGAGGCTGAGGCAGGAAAATTGCCTGAACCCAGGAGGTGGAGGTTGCGGTGAGCCGAGATCGCGCCATTGCACTCCAGCCTGGGTAACAAGAGCGAAACTCCGTCTCAAAAAAAAAAAAAAAAGCAAAAAAGCTGCTTTTTTTTTTTGAGATGTAGTCTTGCTCTATTGCCCAGGCTAGAGTGCAGTAGCCGATCTCGGCTCACTGCAGCCTATGCCTCTTGGGTTCAAACAATTCTCCTGCCTCAGCCTCCTGAGTAGCTGAGAAGGCACTAGTAGATTACAGGCACTAGGCACATGCCACCACACCCAGCTAATTTTTATATTTTTAGTAGAGACGGGGTTTTGCCATGTTGGTCAGGGTAGCCTCAAACTGACCTCAGTGATTTGCCCACCTCGGCCTCCCAAAGTATTGGGATTAAAGGCACAAGCCACTGCGACCAGCCAGTAATCTCATTTTAAAAAGTCAAATAAAATATAAACAAGAATAATAAAATAGGGCTCTCAGAAGCCTAGACTAAATGGGGTATATAACAACTCCAAAACTCACCCCACTCCATAGTTTATGAACAAGCCTCTGCTTGTTTAGAATACACACTTCCTTTAACTACTGATACCCACCACAGAAAGGTTGCCTTGAATTGCAGATATTGCCATATGTAGTCCATATAATGAAACGTGAAAAGGTGTTTTATTAATTCAGCTTTCAGGCAGATCCCAAAAAACCAATTGGGGGACACATTCTAGCTCATGCTTCAACAACAAGAATAAGCTTGCGAAAGGGAAGAGGAGAACTCAGAATTGCCAAGATTTATGACAGGTAAATTTGTTTTTATTGTCTGTGTGTTGTGTGTGTGTGTGTGTGTGTGTGTGTGTGTGTGTGTGTAGAGATGGGACTTTGCCATGTTGCCCAAGCTGGTCTTAAACTCCTAGGCTCAAGGGATCCTCCCACCGTGGCCTCCCGAAGTGCGGGGACTATATGTGTTAGCCACCATACCCGGCCTCCTCATCAGATTCTTGTGCATATGGTATTAAACACAATTGCATCTCCTGCAAGGCTGTAATTATTACTGGCAGATGCTGTGTGTTTGAATTTCCTTCTCAAAAAGTATTCAGCTTATTGGGAAGTCCCTACTGTGTGCTAGGTACTAGGGATTCAGAGATTCTGTTGACACATAGACTTGGTCCCTGACCTTTAAAAGCATACACCTGGATGATGAAATTGTCAGTTCCAATTGAAGTGTGGTAAGTGCAGGGTAAGTACCAAGAATGGAAATATATCTCCTTTCTTTTTTTGTAAGCTAACTCTATTTGCTTTTCAGGTTTCAGTTTAAACATCAATTTCTCAGGGAAACTTTCCCTAACCCTTACAGTCTAGGCTACCCAGAATCTTATACCATATATTCTTTCTCAGCACTTTACGTGTTTAATTAAGAATTGCAGATTTTGCCGGGCGCGGTGGCTCAAGCCTGTAATCCCAGCACTTTGGGAGGCCGAGGCGGGTGGATCGCGAGGTCAACAGATCAAGACTATCCTGGTCAACAAGGTGAAACCCCGTCTCTACTAAAAATACAAAAATTAGCTGGGCATGGTGGTGCATGCCTGTAATCCCAGCTATTCAGGAGGCTGAGACAGGAGAATTGCCTGGAGACAGGAGAATTGCCTGAACCCAGGAGGCGGAGGTTGCGGTGAGCCGAGATCGCGCCATTGCACTCCAGCCTGGGTAACAAGAGCGAAACTCCGTCTCCAAAAAAAAAAAAAAAAAAAGAATTGCAGATTTGGGCCTGGGTGTGGTGGCTCACACGTGTAATCCTAGCACTTTGGGAGGCTGAGGCAGGCAGATCATGAAGTCAGGAGACAGAGACCATCCTGGCCAACATGGTGAAACCCTGTCTCTACTAAAAATACAAAAATTAGCTGGGCATGGTGGTGTGCCTGTAATCCCAGCTACTCAGGAGGCTACGGCAAGAGAGTTGCTTGAACTAGGAAGTTGGAAGTTGCAGTGAGCCTAGATCATGCCACTGCACCACTCCAGCCTTGAGACAGAGTGAGACTCTGTCTCAAAAAAAAAAAAAAAAAAGAATTACAGATTTTGGCTGGATGCAGTGGCTCACACCTGTAATCCCAACACTTTAGGAGGCCAAGGCGGGCAGATCACCCGAGGTCAGGAGTTAGAGACCAGCCTGGCCAACGTGGTGAGATGCTGTCTCTACTAAAAATATAAAAATTAGGCCAGGTGGGGTGGCTTATACCTGTAATCCCAGCACTTTGGGAGGCAGAGGCAGGCGAATTCCAAGGTCAGGAGTTCGAGACCAGCCTGGGCAACATGGTGAAACCCTGTCTCTACTTAAATACAAAAAATTATCTGGGCATGGTGGTGGGCACCTGTAATTCCAGCTGCACTGGAGGCTGAGGTGGGAGAATTGCTTGACTCCAGGAGGCAGAGGTTGCAGTGAGTTTGCCACTGCACTCCAGCCTGGGCAACAGAGCAAAACTCTGTCTCAAAAAAATAAAAGATACAAAATTAAAAAAAAAAAAAATTACAGATTTAATAAATTTTTACAGAGAAACCTACTACATATTAGCTATTCTAAATTCTTGGGATAAAACAATGAACAAAACAAAAAGACAAGTTCATGCCCTTAGAGAACTTACATTTATTTTATTGGTAATGAGTTGTATAACATACATCATCCCCACTAGACAGAAACCCTAAGGCAGGCGTCCCCAAACTTTTTACACAGGGGGCCAGTTCACTGTCCCTCAGACCATTGGAGGGCCGCCACATACTGTGCTCCTCTCACTGACCACCAATGAAAGAGGTGCTCCTTCCTCAAGTGCAGCGGGGGCCGGATAAATGGCCTCAGGGGGCCGCATGCGGCCCAAGGGCCGTAGTTTGGGGACACCTGCCCTAAGGGTTTGCTTCCTCACCATTGAATTCTCAGTTCCTGGGACATGGTAGATGTGTCATATTTGTGACTAATCAACTCCAAGCCACAAAGCAAAGATTTGCAGAAACACTACCCTAGAGAGGAAAAAGCTGTCCCCTAAAAATTAGATGAGCTCTTAATCTGGTGTTTGCAATGAAATCACAGTAGTACCTACTATGTATTGTCATTAAATAAACATTAAATAATCAGTTCCCCATCTATCTAAGATGGTTTTTGTTCAGACCATTTTGCTTTTCACCATCTGTCTCTGTTGAAGATTATAATATATAAATGCTATGTTTTATGGAGCTTTGGCAATCTCTAGAAATTTACGACAAATGTACTTTGTTGAGCCAGGCGCAGTGGCTCATGTCTGTAATCCCAGCACTTTGGGAAGCTGAGATGAGGAGTTCAAGACCAGCTTGGCCAACATGGTGAAACCCCATCTCTGCTAAAAATACAAAAATTAGCCAGGCATGGTGGCAGTCACCTGTAATCCCAACTACTCAGAAGGCTGAGGTGGGAGAATCTTTTGAACCTGCTAGGGGGAGGTTGCAGTGAGCTGAGATTGTGCACTCCAGACTGGGTGACAGAAAGAGACTCTGTCTCAAAAAAACATCCACCCGGCCAGGCGCGGTGGCTCAAGCTTGTAATCCCAGCACTTTGGGAGGCTGAGGCGGGTGGATCACGAGGTCAAGAGATCGAGACCATCCTGGTCAACATGGTGAAACCCCGTCTCTACTAAAAATACAAAAAATTAGCTGGGCATGGTGGCACGTGCCTGTAATCCCAGCTACTCAGGAGGCTGAGGCAGGAGAATTGCCTGAACCTAGGAGGCGGAGGTTGCGGTGAGCCGAAATCGCGCCATTGCACTCTAGCCTGCGTAACAAGAGCGAAACTCCGTCTCAAAAAAAAAAAAAAAATCCACCCCAAAAAAACAAATGTACTTTGTAGAACTAAATGGTTCCATCTTGTCAGATGTCATAGCTCACCTATTAGACTTCTTAAGAGTAAGGATTCTAGGGCCGGGCGTGGTGGCTCAAGCCTGTAATCCCAGCACTTCGGGAGGCCAAGGCGGGTAGATCATGAGGTCAAGAGATTGAGACCATCCTGGTCAACATGGTGAAACCCTGTCTCTACTAAAAATACAAAAAATTAGCTGGGCATGGTGGCATGTGCCTGTAATCCCAGCTACTCAGGAGGCCGAGGCAGGAGAATTGCCTGAACCCAGGAGGCAGAGGTTGCGGTGAACCGAGATTGTGCCATTGCACTTCCGCCTAGGTAACAAGAGCGAAACTCTGTCTTAAAAAGAAAAAAAAAAAGAGTAAGGATTCTGTCTCTTCTGGACAATCTATAGGGTCTGGTACATGCTAAAGTATGATTTTTTTAATTAAAACTTGACTTTCCTGCAAATAAATATAAAATGAACATGTATCAAAGATTTTATACATTAAGGAGGTAACCAATGATTCAAATCAACATTGTAATCAATCAAAGGAATACTGAAATAAATTTTTTTTTTGAGATGGAGTCTCGCTCTTTTGCCCAGGCTGGAGTGCAGTGACTCAATCTCCACTCACTGCAACCTCCATCTCCTGGGTTCAAGTGATTCTCCTGCCTCCCAAGTAGCTGGGGCTACAGGCACGCCACCACTACACCTGGCTAATTTTTTTGTATTTTTAGTAAACATGAGGTTTTTCACCATGTTGGCCAGGCTAGTCTCAAACTTCTGACCTCAAGTGATCCACCCGCCTCAGCCTCCCGAAGTGCTGAGATTACAGGCGTGAGCCACTGTGCCTGGCCTATTAAAGAGACAGTTTAACAACCACCTGACCATCACCTGATGGTTGCGTTACCTTCTTGGTGGGGTGCAGGGCTCTCCTACCCTGCTAATGTCTGCCTAACTACCTACTCTAACAAAATGAAATATAAATTGATCAAAAATGGGTCAATATAGGAAAATAATCCATTCCATTCCACCTTACACGATTTACATCTCTCTGGACAAGAATAATTCACATTACTCACAGTTTTCTACAACTTAAGGAGTTATAAAATAGATCAAAGACAATGGAAAGCATACAACCCTCATAGAACTGGATAATCTGCGAGGATGTGCTAGACAACCTATGTAATCTTTTAATTTATTTCAAAGTCGTTTAAAGTTTGCTCCTATGTTGACATCCAATTTTGAAAAAAAAGAAAAAAAAAAAGTTTGCTCCTATGTTAGTCTAGTGATGAGAAAGGTGCATACCCCTATAGAATCAGATAAGTCCCTAAAGGGCTGCTATACAATGCCTGACACTATTCTAAAAGAATACCCAAGGGTAGATGCGGTGGCTCATGCCTGTAATCTCAGCATTTGGGAGGCCAAGGCAGGTGGATTACCTGAGGTCAGGAATTCGAGACCAGTCTGGCTAACATGGTGAAACCCCATTTCTACAAAAAATGCAAAAAATTAGCCAGGGATGGTGGCACGCACTTGTAATCCCAGCTACTTGGGAGGCTGAGGCAAGAGAATCGCTTGAACCCAGGAGGTGGAGGTTGCAGTGAGCCAAGATCGCACCATTGCACTCCAGCTTGGGCAACAAGAGCAAAACCATCTTAAAAAAAAAAAAAAAAAAAAAAGGGGGCCGGGCCGGGCGCGGTGGCTCACGCCTGTAATCCCAGCACTTTGGGAGGCCGAGGCGGGTGGATCACGAGGTCAAGAGATTGAGACCATCCTGGTCAACATGGTGAAACCCCATCTCTACTAAAAATACAAAAAAAATTAGCTGGGCATGGTGGCGCGTGCCTGTAATCCCAGCTACTCAGGAGGCTGAGGCAGGAGAATTGCCTGAACCCAGCAGGCGGAGGTTGCGGTGAGCCCAGATCGCGCCATTGCACTCCAGCCTGGGTAACAAGAGTGAAACTCTATCTCCAAAAAAAAAAAAAAAAAGAGAACACTCAGTTATCCTTTTGCCTGTTTCCAAGTTTGGGGCAATTTTTCTTGATATTCAAAACTTCATATATAGAAGTTGCTCAGTGAATGTTTGTGAGGGTTAAGAATACTTGTGGGTACGTTCTGTAGGCCACATTTGGTTGTAGCAATTCTGAGATGTCTTTGGAGACTGAGACTGATGGGAGCATAATGCCTGTGACATGAGTATAGTATTTATAGAAATAGAGCTTTTTATAAACTTCTGTTCCCTTGTATTCTGTTAGTCCTGAGATGCCTGAAAATGAAGCCACCTTCGCAATAACTGCTGGAGGAATTGGGGATGCCAAGGAGTAGGTGGTGAATTGATGCAAATTGCTTCTTAGTGCTTATTAGGAGCTGAAGAAATGGAAAACCAGTCTCCAATTTCACATCTTGAAATACAGGTTTTTTTTCCCCACGTTATTAAAGTCAGCAAAAGAGATATAAATATTATATTTATCTTAAAAGTCCCTGATTTATCACTACACATTGTATGTAAAGTCAGGATATGTGTGTGTGTGTGTGTGTGTGTGTATGTGTATACATATATATATATGTATATATATATATGTATATATATACCTGACATATATAGTAGATTTATATACCTATTGAAATTCTCTCACTCTGTGTATGCATATATGTATATATACCTATGGAAAACTAGTTGTTGGGAAAGGGGTACCTGATTCCCTCCCTTTCACTTTTCAAAGTGACCCACTAAGCAGATGGAAAGTCTAAGGGTTCGGAAATGTCCCATTCTCTAAAGGCTTTCCCTTCACCATTTTTCTACGGTGCAGTGCCACTGACTACAGAGCTGGATGTTTTTCCACAGGATGATTTAAGGGAGGAATGTTTATAGGACACACACAAAAAAGCTCTTTCTATTTATAATATCAAACTGCATATTCACCTTTATAGCAACAGAAAACAAACATTAAATTAAGTCAAATTTTAAATCATTTGACATTGACAAGCAGAAATTACTTTTAAAAAATATATTTATGGCCAGCTGCACTGGCTCACACCTGTAATCTCAGCACTTTGGGAGGCCAAGGCAGGTGGATCACTTGAGGTCAATAGTTCAAGACTAGCCTGGCCAACATGGTGAGACACCATCTCCACTAAAAACACAAAAATTAGCTGAGTGCAGTGGCATGTTCCTATAATCCCAACTACTCTGGAGGCTGAGGTAGGAGAATCGTTTGAACCCTGAAGACAGAGGTTGCAGTGAGCCAAGATGGCACCACTGCATTCCACGCTGGGTGACAGAGCAAGACTCTGTCTCAAAAAGAGAAAAAAAGAAAAAAATGTATTTATGATAGATACATATTCTCTTGGGGAATAAAGACAAAGGTCATTATAAAATTTAAAATTTGGGGTGATTTTTATGTTTTAAATTTTGGGTAAAGAATTAAAAATGTTTTTTAAGAGCTCTTAAACAAAAAAGAGCACTTTGGGAGGCCAAGGGGGGCAGACGACCTGAGGTCAGGAATTTGAGACCAGCCTGGCCCACAGGATGAAACCCCATCTATACTAAAAATATAAAACTTAGCCAGGTGTGGTGGCAGACACCTGTAATCCCAGCTACTCAGGGGACTGAGGCAAGAGAATTGCTTGAACCTGGGAGGCAGAGACTGCAGTGAGCTGACATTGTACCACTGCACTCCAGCCTAGGTGACACAGTGAGACTCCATCTCAAAAAAAAAAAAAAAAATCTTGTTTAAATGTTAAAATTAATTTAAATGTAAAATTTCTGAATACTAATCTTAGAAATGTATAATATATATTGTTTTTTGATTGTTGAACAAAAATAAAATCTTGTTTTCAAACTGTATGTATGATGAAAATATGTAAAAATTAAAATGCTAATGACAATATACAATGAAAAGCTTTACAGATGTCAATCGTTACAGACTTTAGTGTTAAATCAACTTATATGAAAATTCGGGCCGGGCACGGTGGCTCAAGCCTGTAATCCCAGCACTTTGGGAGGCCGAGGCGGGTGGATCACGAGGTCGAGAGATCGAGACCATCCTGGTCAACATGGTGAAACCCCGTCTCTACTAAAAATACAAAAAATTAGCTGGGCATGGTGTCGTGTGCCTGTAATCCGAGCTACTCAGGAAGCTGAGGCAGGAGAATTGCCTGAACCCAGGAGGCGGAGGTTGCAGTGAGCCGAGATTGCGCCATTGCACTCCAGCCTGGGTAACAAGAGCGAAACTCCGTCTCAAAAAAAAAAAAAAAGAAAGAAAAAGAAAATTCGGCCAGGCGCACGGTGGCTCATGCCTGTAATCCCAGCACTTTGGGAGGCCAAGGCAGGTGGATCACTTGAGGTCAGGAGTTTGAGAGCAGCCTAGCCACCATGGTGAAACCCTGTCTCTACTAAAAAAATACAAAAATTAGCCAGGTGTGATGGCAGGCACCTGTAATTCCAGCTTCTCAGGAGTCTGAGCCAGGAGAATCATTTGAATCTGGGAGGTGGAGGTTGCAGTGAGCTGAGATCGCACCACTGTACTCCAGCCTGGGCGACAACAGTGAGACTCCATCTCAAAAAAAAGAAAAAGAAAATTCAAGGGCTGGTGTGGTGGCTCACACCTGTAATCCCAGCACTTTGTGAGGCCGAAGTGGGCAGGTCACCTGAGGTCAGGAATTCAAGACCAGCCTGGCCAACACAGTAAAACCCCATCTCTACTAAAAATACAAAACTAGCTGGGCATGGTGGTACATGCCTGTAATTCCAGCTACTCGGGAAGCTGAGGCAGGAGACTCACTTGAACCCAGAAGGCAGAGGTTGCATTGAGGTGAGATCGCATCATTGCACCCCAGCCAGGGCAACAGAGTGAAACTCCATTTCAAACAACAACAAAAAAGAATAAGTAAAATGTCAAAAATGGAGAGGAAAGGTTAAGCTGAGAGACTGCATGTGCAAAGGTATAGGAGCTGGGATTTGGAAAGAAAATGGAGACAAACTCAGCAAGCAGGAATTGTTCACAATGCAGGATACTGAGAAATAAGAGCTTTTTTTCTTTTACTTTTTAAAACCCCAGAAGCTGCTTCCCTGAATAAGCAAAGATAAAGTAATCTAGGAGTAGATTTTCTGCATTCTGCAAAATTACTTAAATGGCATAATTTTCATATGCAAATATAAAGGCATACTTTTGTCCTAGGGAAAGGAAGGCTATGTTACTTGATTCATTGAGTACATTTTAAATTTTCTGTGTATTATGCTGTTTTAACAGTTTTTTTTTTTTTTTTTTTTTTTTTTTTTTTTTTTGAGGTGGCGTTTCACTCTTCTTGCCCAGGCTGGAGTGCAATGGCGCCATCTCAGCTCACTGCAACCTCTGCCTCCTATGTTCAAGCAATTCTCCTGCCTCAGTCCCCCAAGTAGCTGGGATTACAGGCACCCACCACAATGTCCAGCTAATTTTTTGTATTTTTAGTAGAGATGGGGTTTCACCATGTTGACCGGGCTGGTCTCAAACTCCTGACCTCAGGTAATTCACCTGTCTCAGCCTCCCTAAGTGTTAGGATTACAGGTATGAGCCATCACACTTGGCCTGTTTTAACATTTTGAAAAATCTTTCTAGCTGGGGAGAGACTGCTCCTATCAGGGCTAGCCAATTCTTAGAGACAGCAAAGGGCTCAGCCAGGAGCATGTCTTTGATGCACAAACTAACCAATCTACAGCCATCTAGCTCTATCTGGCCCTTATACTCCAGAAGAGAATATTCCGTTGCCTTAATCATCCCAGGCCCTGCTACCAGGCAACTAGGGGCCACCCATCTAATTTAGAGCCTACCAAAATTTCAGCCTGGGCAACCTGGTGAAACGTGGTCTCAAAAAACAAACAAATTAGCCAGGTGTGATGGCAGGTACCTGTAATCCCAGCTACTCGGGAGGCTGAGACGGGAGAATCACTTGAGCCCAGGAAGTCAAGGCTGCAATGAGCCATGATGGCACCACTGTACTCCAACCTGAGCAACAGTGAGACCCTGTCTAAAAAAAAAAAAAGGAAAAAAAATTATTCAACTGGCCACTCCTCAACTGTTTAACCTGCCCTGCCTCAGAAACTTCAATAAAGGCCATGGCCCAAGCTCTCCCCAATCTCAGTGTTCTGCCTCCTGACTACTGCCATGTGTTCCCCAGTGACCCTGCATGGCATGTGATGACCCCCTCTTTAGGACCTGTGAGTATAATAAACTTTCTTCTACAAGCCTCTCCTATCTTTCCTCAGGCCACACCTGACTATCCTATAAAGGCACAATTTAAATAGTTTGACAACACCCTTGATAAAAACTGAGCATCTCCTAGAGATTCCCTGGTATAAGGAGCCCTGGAGAGGGGGTGGATCAATTTGCATAGCAGCCCAGAGCCTTTTAGTAGGGACAGAAATAAAACTCCCACGACTTGAAATTCACAGTTTCTGGGTTAAGCAGAGCACCCCTTACAAAGGACAATTTACCAAGAAGTGAGCAGTAGGGTTGGAACACAGGGCCTAACACAAAGGCCTAGAGTTCAGCGGAGGAGCCGGTTTCAACGTGGCCTGTTGCTAAGACTGGAATCCTCTCTGTGTCCAGCCACTCTTTTTTTTTTTTGAGATAGAGTTTCCCTCTTGTTGCTCAGGCTGGAGTGCAATGGCACAATCTCGGCTTACCGCAACCTTTGCTTCCTGGGTTCAAGCAATTCTCCTGCCTCAGCCTCTGAAGTAGCTGGGATTATAGGCATGGGCCACCACACCCAGCTGATTTTGTATTTTCAGTAGAGACAGGGTTTCTCCATGCTGGTCAGGCTGGTCTCTAACTCCCAACCTCAGGTGATCCGCCTGCCTCAGCCTCCCAAAGTACTGGTATTATAGGCATGAACCACCACACCTGGCCAGGGTCCAATCACTCTTATACGTCCTGGTTTGGAGAACAGTAGCTAAGTCTAAGAATGAACTAAAAAGCTGCAACCTGGGGCCCAACTTTGGGACAGCACTGCAGATTGTGCAGGTTATCTGGGCAGCAAGAAAATCACCAGTGTCAGCTGGGCATGGTGGCTTATGCCTGTAATTCTAGCATTTTGGGAGGCCGAGGCGGGTGTATCACCTGAGGTCAGAAGTTCGAGACCAGTCTGGCCAACACAGTGAAACCCCATCTGAACTAAAAATAGGAAAAATTAGTCAGGTGTGCTGGTGTGTACCTGTAATCCCAGCTACTTGGGAGGCTGAGGCAGGAGAATCACGTGAACCCAGGAGGCGGAGGCTGCAGTGAGCCAAGATCAGCCATCGCACTCCAGCCTGGGCACAATGCAAGCCTCCGTTTCAGAGAGAAAAAAAAAAAAAAAAAAAAAA